TCCCACAATAAATAAGCATTTGCATGAATTCCATTTGCATTGTTGTCTTGTGCTTGAACTAGATTGTTTATACAACAATACATCATTTTGGCTTTATACAATTTCATCAAGTATCTATGAGATAATCAATTTCCTGTCTAACACTTAGCAAACATGTTAGTCCTTTAATCGTGTTGTCATTCAATCATCCAAAACTCACTAAAAGGCTAGATGCACTTTCAGTATGACAACTGGGTTCTCGGTTTGCGATCCTATATGATGCAATGTGCGTAAGTGCTTATGCCATCGATGCATCGAATGAGATGAATACAATGGGTATGCTTGAATGCAAGGTAGTCAACATCATCCAAGAACATATACTACAAACACATGTCATCTACTGCATTCTCTTCTACTATTAATATGCTAAGTCAACACATCTTATTAAATGCTTCAAAGATACACCAAAGCTTTACTAATTTCTTAATCACACATAAAGCAACACTTGATTAAACCCTAATTAATAATAGGTTTGAATAGTAACATCTATTTTTATTGCTTAGAAAAATCTTAGAAAATTACCATAGCACAGTACTACCTTAGGTAGTCTACCATCAGATTTTCATGGTATTTGAATGAGTGGATTAGCCTACACAAAAATAACAAGCTATGGCATGATTATGAACATGAAAATACTTTGTACTGTGAAAAGTGTCAACCAACAAAGTTAGTATTTTTCCTATGATCTTCATAGCATACAATCCCTGTACAAAAATTATCACATGCATGTTTTATACAATCTTTGCTCTCTAGCAAAAATAACAAACATCAGCCATTAAAGGCACTTGAACTATACCTCATAATTTTTCTACAGCACATGCATCACACATATTTTTCCTAGGAAGTACATTACATAAGAAGATTAACAAACTTGAAATCATATTTTTCTGAAGCCTATAGGTTTTTCTACACATTTTTCAAGTTATCAGCAATATCAAGGATTAAATAAAGCTCTACAGAAAAGTATCTTAAAAATGACATGCAATATTTTTCTCATGTAGATCTGGTGACAAGGAACCTAGCAAAATTTATTTCAGCAGATTTGGAGCAAATTTGAGTATACAAACATTTTCCAAATCATTTCTCTTTTCAAATAATAAAGAAAACTAAAAATGAAAACTTCCTATTGCTACTGGGCCGGCCCGTAGAAACCAGCTAGCCCACGGCCACACTCGGCCTGCTCAGACCGAGCGGAGGGGAGTGCGGCGGCCTGGCTCGGGGCTTCGGCCCACGGCCACTGGGCCCAGCTCGGCCGAGGCGAAGGGGGTTCACGCTGGGGTCGAGACGCCGCGGCGGCGTGGCTCGGCCAGCGGGCCGGCGGCCATTGCCGGCCGGGTCAGGGCAAGCGGGTGAGCGCATGGGGTTCGCAAGGAGTTGGCGAATGCGAGCAGGCCAATAGGAAGGGTGAAGGAGGGGAAGAAGGGTGAGTTCCACGGCGTCCGAGCACGGCGGCGCCATGGCTGACGGCGGCGAAGCTTGGAAAAATGCGCTACCTTGGCTCAAAAGACATCACAACCGTGAGAACTAGGTGCTGGAGAGCGAGGCAGAGCTGCTGGTGCTTGATTGCTGGCCGTGGTGGAGCACCGACGGCGGATTCGGCCGGCGGGGTTGCGGTGGCGCTGTGCTCTACCGCGGCGAGAGGAGGGGCGAGCATGGGAGAGCGAGAGAGCGGGCGGGAGTTGAGTGGAGAGGAGCGCAGCGACTTCGGCAGATAAAGGCGGGCGCGTGGGAGCGGACGCAGGCCGTGGCTGCCACGCGGCGAGCGTCGCCGGCGCATGGCCGCCACACGGCGGTCGCGTTCTGACGTGGTCGGGACGCGGCGCGGGCGAACGGCGCAGTGCAGCGCGGTCGGCAGGCCAGACGCGCGCGGGGCTGGGCTGGGCCGAGGAGAGGTGGGCTGGTGCGGGAGGCGGGCGGTGCTGCAGGCCGAGCCGGCTTCGGCCGTGGGCCGAGAAGGGAGGCGGCGGCCCGCGAAAGGAGAAAAGCCCTTTTCAAATTATGTTTTCAATAAATTTTCAAATACCAGTTTTCAAATATCATTTTGAGCAAGAAAATGACATCTTTTGAAAATGTCCCAAAAATGAAAGTTTCTTATAATTTAATCCTCTACAACTTTGGTTTGATGACCAAAGTCCAATTCTTGCTAGATTTTGAATTATAAAATAAAAGTCAATTTTAACTCAAAACCCTAATTTTTGGAGAATTATTTTAAAGCAAAATTTGGCAATAATTTAAATACAAACTTTGCTCCAAAAATTGCGCTAAATAATTCTAGATGATTTGCAATCATAGCCAAACATGTTTGACTAACCTAGCAAGCATAATCATGGCAAAACAACTCTAAACAAGTGTATGCAACATTCATGTTTCACGAGCATGTTTCGTATGTTTCGAAGCAGGGTTTCAGTTATTATTTATATGATTAGGCATGTATGATTAGGATGTTTGATGATGCATGATATGCATGATTTGCAGTGCCTAAATGCTAGCATAACACCAGGGTGTTATAAGGCGGGACCCAGCAAGCGGTGTAGTCGCGCTCTTGATCGCACGAACGAATCAACGTTGATGGTCATTAGCTCCTCCTCTTTGGGTACCCTAGTCTTGGTCCCCGACACAGCCCCTGAGAAGCCGTGGTAGAGTTATATGGAAATCTGAGGAGGCGTCCATTCGGGTACAGGATCTCGTTAGGCCTGTTCTTGCCACTGCGCATGGTTAGGAACTGTGTCTATCATGTGGGAAAATTTGTACACTTTTGTTGAATCTATTCGAATAGCCACGTCCTTGGAATGGACAGATGCTAGGATGGGGTACTATGATTAGATTTCTACAACTGTGATAATCTGGTAAGATGTATTTTACTAATTTGGTAATTATAATGAACAACGGGAACTGGTGAGAATGGTAATACTCTGTCAGGGTCCAACCTATAATTACAATTACTTCACCTTACTACTTTTACCTCTACCTATCCACCTCCACCACCATAATCCACCTCCACCATATAGCCTTTCTCTTCCACCTCACCTCCACCCAAAGTTTAGGGCTTGTTGAGTACTTTATGTACTCAACCCCCTCCATTCTATGTTTTTAGGAGTTAAGTTACAAGAGGATACACCTAGATGGAACTTCTAGAGCTACGCAAGGATAGGATACCTGGAGTATACTCGGAGACAGAGCCGTACGAGAGAGCTACGCTAGGACCACGACGATTGGGATATAGGAATACACTTAAGAAATAAGTCTAGGGTTACGTCCGCACTCCAAGTTGCCTGTAGGAAACGGAGCCACGTTGATATAGGACCGCTGTCTTAGAACTCTGATATACGATATAAGGCCGGTGGCCCAAGCTATGTAAACACGAACCATGTAATATGTTTTCCCCTTAGCAATAAAAGTATGGTTTTGATATCAATCTTGTTCGAATTGTGCGTATCAGCTACTGATCCAGGAACTGATACATGATGCACAGAGGACCCTAAATTAGGGGCCCGACATGGCCCTTTGGCAGTGGCCCCTCTCGCCTAGGGCCAGAGACAACCCTACAACCAGCACAATAATGACTAAATAAATAGTACTACCTCCTACCTCTGTCTATATATAACTAAAAAGACTCAAACGGATGATGCCTTCTATGACCTATTTGAAACCGGCTACCTATTCTCCTTTCCACAGAATTAGAAAATGGAAATCCACAATAACATGCTAATTAGAAAATTAAACTTCCCATCTCATCAAGCTGAGCTGAGGAGATCATGCACATCATTGTCTTCCTCCTCTCACTCGCACCAATTATGACATTACAATAATTTCTTTGGCCTATTAGCTCAACCATTTCAATTGTTGACTTATTATAGCAGGAAGCCATAATATTAGGGGGCTATGAGTTTCGCGCATGTATGGCAACACCAAAGTTTCGAAAGGATTATGTGAACAAATTGGCCAAGTTGTATGGACAAGAATGATGTTGTTATGCTCTTATTGGGTTGAAATTGTATGTACATGAATGATGTTGTTATGCTCTTATTGTGTTGATTTTTTTTTTGACTTCTATAGCAACACACAAGCAGGGGAAAACTGTTACGTTGAAAATTTATCAACTCCCATTGCAACGCATGAACATAATTACGTTGTGAGTAGGAGATATATGGGTTTTTTTTGTTTTTGACTTCTATCTACAAGAGTTTGGAGAGATGTATGGGGTTTTTAAATAAATATTTCCATTCAAAGTTACAACTATGTATCCTTAATTTTGTGCTTCTATAATAAGTGTGATTGCTTATTAACACATGTTATAGTGACGATTGGCTAGAAATGTAATCTTGTGAAGATCACACCCAAAACATTGCTTTTATTTATGATACAACACATGTGTAAACTACAATTACTATGATATTAATTTTTGTCCCGCACGTTGACATGGTGCTGTCAAAGAGCCAACTTGACAGTCAAAAAAAAAAAGAGCCAACTTGACAATGCAACACACGGGTATCCATCGACACTGCTTTTTGACTAATAATATCTGCAGCAATATATTGTTTTATTGAATACAAACAGTTACATATCGTGGAACTATGTTCCAACCTCATGTTATCAATCTTTTGTCAATGATGGACAGTGCTAAAAACTTTGAAGTTTAATATGAAGTTGACGACACGACACTGCCGAACTGAGGGCAACACTAACACAGTGTCTCTATTCCACAGATAAAACACAAAACCAATCCAAATACACTCCATGGTTTTTACATCACAAAATACAATATTGAATGCTAGGTCAAAATACATTTGAACCTTACACCATTATACAAGAGACAGTCTGACCAAACAATTACACTATAGTACTATACAATACCAAACGATGAATGCTATAGTTTCTAGTTATTCACTATACAAGTTATTTAGTTTATGTGACTACTTGCAACATTATTCATCGTGTGATGTCTTTGTATGAATATGGGCTCAGGAAACGCCGGTCTGAAGGGTCGTTTCTGGAGCAACAAATATGATGGCACTCTTCACAGTAGAAGCATTATTTACATATAATTTGTTCCCCGACTGTGCGCTACCAGGATTGTTCTGCGTTGCCATCACCTGCAGTGCTCCTTTATTCCAAGCATAAGCATACAGTAAACAGAAACCAGAAAGGTGTCAAGGATGTGGAAGCAGAAGCTTAGTCTAGTTTCTTGTGACCGTACCTTTTTCTCTTGCTTTTGTCCGATGAGGATGACGCCGGATTGTTGTGCCAGTTCCGCTTACGCTGGTTGATAAACCAGTTATTGATCTGCTTCAGTTGTAGCCCTGTTTCCTGCACCAGTCGAGCCTTGTCTTCCTCCTAAACAAGTGTTCCGGAATAATGTGCTCATGAGTAACTAGGAATGGTGCTGGGAGTGATAGGATCGATGTGTTCACATACGGTTGGGTATGGCCACTTAGAATGAGCTTGCCACCAAGCTTTTAAGGTAGAAGCAGTGTCTCCAGGGAGTTTCCCAGCTCTTCGCTTCCGCAATATCTCTTCCCGAATATCCACAAGTTTGTCTCTGTACCCCTGAAAGTTGAAAGTTTTGCTTAGACAACATTGTATTACTACCAAAAACATAAAATGTTTCAACATTACCTGCTTAAGCTCATGCTTTAGCTCCTGCCGGACACGCTCCACTAAGGATCTTTCACCCTCAGTCAACATTAATGGACCAAATCCCATTCCATCTGACCCCTCATTTCCATCAAACATGTTGCTCTCACTGTCTACCTGATTGTCTTCATCATCAGACATAGTTGCCCCAGTACCCTCACCAGGAGATGCCCCTGCAGGAAGAGTATATTAGAAAAAAAAAGGTTTCAATCATGTTTTGAGGACAACAGCCCCTGTGTGAAATAAAACTGGACCCGACTAATCATCAGGGACTCCTACAAATACAACCCTCACAATTTCCTGCAGGTAAGTTTTCAAGTGTTCAGGCAACTATGTGCCTCAAGGAAGTTTGTGACAACTCTCTGGTAGGTAGACGGATACGAGTGTTCATGCTAACATATTTGAGTCCGGCATTGTTGTCATGCCTAGTTGTCAGTTGTCCACTAAACTTTGGCAAAAAAGAAAAAAGAAAGAAAAAAAGGAAGAGAGAGAGAGAGAGAGAGAGAAAGAAGGGGGAAGAAAAATAAAGAGTCCAGAAGGTTGTGATTTTGGCCAACATCTGTTTCGGTGTGTGCTGGGCCATTGAAAGTATTTCAGAATGAATGATGCCTAATGCCATACGGAAAGCAAGTGGGTTCGATACCTTTGAATTTTTGCAAATAATTCTTTGCATGATATAAAGGACCTCCTACTGAACTTTTCTTCTAGCTCTGGCTAAAGGCACACTTGAGGACTTCAGTCCAAGAAACACTAAGTTGCAAAAGCATATTTGGAAGCATTGTTTTCTAGCACACAGGATTCCTCTTTACTACGACTACAAGGGTTCCTGCCTTCAGGAACCTATTAACTAATTGGAATTATGGCTAGTTTTCAAAACTAGAAATGCTAGAAGCGCAAAATCAATTGCTACTCTTTTCCTAAAAGCAATGTGAAATTGTCCCAAGGGTACGCTTAGTATTGTGATTGTGGTTCTTACCATTACTCTCTTGATTTTCATAGAACCATTACAGTGTACTATATTCAGTTATTAACTTTCCTGAGGGGCCTGCGCCAGAGTCTAGAGACATGATAGGGGAAAATTTGACTGGGCCAACACTGTTGAAATTATGCTCACAAAGTCACAAGCATCAGTTGCATGCTGTGCAACATGAGGTTCATGGATGAGATAATGATTCAGAAATGGGTTCGATAGCATGAATTTGTAAGGTTTGATTCTAATGGAAGAAAAAAAAAGTATTAACAATGTTGGTCAGTTTTTGTATCTAATAAGACCAACAAGAGAATGGTTATTTGGTCAATTTCCAAACGAAAGAAACACTGGGGGAGTGGTCAATTCATTATTTGTGGCGAGAAATTTCAATAAGATGGTAGACTGCTGTACATAAAGAAGACTCCAAAAAGGGGCAGCTAAACAATTTTCCTCTCAAACATTACTAACTAGAAAGCTTCAGCTACCTGTAAGGCTTTGTAAAGTTTGTTCAAGCTCCCAGCAAGCCATGACTGCTTCCATCGCATGAACACGCACGTGTTGCTGGAGTTGTTCCTTGAATGAACAGAGGAGCAGCACATAATGCGTCTGGGCGAAAAATAAGATAAGTCATTAGAATTTAGAACCGGACAAGGAAAACAAAATAGGGAACGATAACAACCTGATGTTGCCATAGGAAGATTAATTATCAATTGAGCTACAGCTAAACCTAAGCAGAAAATTGCAAAAACGGCTTCACTATCGATAACCTAGGCAAACAGAGAGGCGACGCAATTAAGAACGAAAAGCAAGTGAAGAGATAGCATCTTCAGTTCATGAGTCAATTCTACGCTTAAATTTGCAGCTCCGTTGCTACGCATACTAACTCGGTTTATTCGAAAATCCATTTTGGCCCCGCCCCATATTCGGCATGTTAGGCTTGTTTTTTCAGCTGGAACAGCGTTTTTATCTCACAACAATTCAGCTGGAAAAGTGTTTTTCAGCCAGTTTAACCAAGATTCAGACCAATGAACTAGCCAACTCCATCCCCAAATTTTCCACATGCTGTAGTACAGAATACTTAGCATGCCGGATGAACCATCCAGCCATACAATTCCACCCGAAACTCAATCAGAAAATCCACACAGAGAACCACCGGGCAACCTTATAGCTTCATCACAGCAAGACCCTGCTCACAGAGGGAGAGAGACGAGAGAGTTTGGGTACTCACCATGAAGAGGTCGAGCTCCTCGCCTCCCGAGTGTGCTCCGCCCGCCGCCGCAGCCGCGGCGGCGGCCGCCATGGGCGGGGGCCTCGCGGCTATCTGGGCGTCGATGCGCGGGAGCTGGTCCACGGGGGTGGCGACGCGGAGGCAGGCGACGTGCGCCTCGAGCAGGCGCTCGTACAGCGGGTGCGCCGCGATGGCCGCCTTCTCCCTCTCCCAGCCGGGCCCCCCGGCGGCCACGCCACCACCAACTCCGGAGACGAAACTAGGGTTCGCGGCAGCCCCAACCGCGGCGGCGGCCGCCGCGGAGTCCATCGCCAGCGCGTGGTCGTGGTAGCTGAACGCCATCGGACCGGCAGGGCCGCGCCGCCCAGCTAGAGAGAGAAGGAGGCAGCGGCGGGCGAAGGATGGATGGGGCCGCGGCGCGCAGCCGGGGCGGGCGCGAGAAGATGAGGAGCGGGAGCGGCAGGAGGAGTGGAGGACCACGCGAGTCAAGTGGCGGAGGCTTTGAAGACGCGAGAGGAAGGAGTAGGACACGGGACGGCGAGTGGGGTGTAGTGGGGAGGGAGGGGACCGCGCTTTTGGGGTAGAGGACGGATAGCGCCCTCCGTCTATTTCTCGTGCACGTGACTCAATTCCGAAGAGTGAATTGCACAGCAAACACAAATGTCGGGAAATTCTATAGGCGGCAGTTATTTCCTCGTACGAACCGGACATTTTGTTCAAATCCAATTTAGTAGGAGTGTCTTATTTTAGTCTTTTTCGAAGCAATAAAAGTTAACTTCAGTACGCCCTTCGTACCTAAATTCAGGTCGTTTTGGATAAGACTTGGTTTAAACATTGAAAATATAAATTATGAATAACTCTTTAAGTTGTTCAGTTTGGAAATATGAGAACCATATGAATGGATTTATTTTGAAAAATACTTTCATACAAATATTTATATATCAGTTTTTAGTAAATATTTTTATAAAAATAAAAAATTAAAGTTATGCTTTGGAGATCGTGTCGCTGTCCAAAACGACATCTTTAGACAACCTAGAGGGAATATATATGAGTAATAAGTGTCGTATAGTCATACTTATTTTGATCGAAAACATAAGTCAATTTAGATTTATCGTTAGTTAAACATTTTATCTTTGATAGTATCAACAAAAATGGATTTATAACATCACAATGGCATGAGAATATATTTTTAGTACTAATTAATGACACCGTAAACCATCGAATGTGTGAACTTACGGGTAAAGGTAATTGTGTTTCTTGTGGTGGAATATGATGCAAAAGGGCTTATAGTCCAGTGGTTATAAGAGTTTTAGTAACATCTCCAGTTCTGGGTTTGACTCCCCATTTGAGCAAATTTAAACAGGTCTGCTTGTGCCTACGAGTCGGTAGCTCATGGGACGTTGTTAAAAAAATCCCCTCGCCAGCAAAAGCCAGGGTTCAAGGATTTTCTCGGCCAACAGGTTTAGGTCTTCTACAATGCCCAGGGAGAGATCATACCTCCGGCTGGCCTAGTTTTTTTTCGATGGATTCAAAGTTCTCAACCTAACGTGGATGCTCATATTTTTCTTTAATTTAGTAGTAGACGACATGTGGATTTAAAGTTCTCAACCTAATGTGAATGCTTCTATTTTTCTATGATTTAGTAGTAGATGACATGTTCGTTGGCATCAACCTAATGTGGATTTAAAGTTCTCAACCTAATGTGGATGGGTGTATTTATATAAGTGAGTGTATGTGTGTATGTATAAGTGTTTATATCTTATTGTGAATAAAAAAACCATTGACATCAATGTTGTAATAAATTTATATTTTTTACAGAAAAAAACATCAAGAATCACGAGCTGAGTGAAGAGGCAGGTTCAGAATAGCAAATTGGCCTACTCTACTCCAATTCGTTTGTCTTCTCTCCGAGGGAGAAAAAAGTGAACAAGCAAATTGGCCATAAAAGGTTATCCGACACCCCCACTTGTTTGCATCCCAACATTTTGGTACGCATGTTTTCTCAATAAAAAATAGAACATCTTTACTTGTAACACAGAAACAGCTCGCGCGCTAGCCAAATTTTCAACACACGACAACGGCACCCGCACAAGACACGTCCATACATCTTATGCAACAAGAATATGTATATATTTCTCATTATCAACGGCCTCTCCAAACCACAAAGGTGACGTTTGGATGGTGAGGGGGAAAGGGAAACGGAAATTAGGAGGTATGGGTTATGGATTGAGAAATAAGATTTAAAGCCAATCCGTTGTTTGGGTTACCTAGGTTTGGGTTTGGGTTTAGTGGGACCCACGGGCTTTTAAAAATAAATAGGAAATCCTATCCCCACCCGATGGCTTCTCCGAGCTCGGGAAGGTTCGGCCGGCGCGCGTGCGAGAAGATCGTAACCCGCTCATAACCCAACTCCATCCTTTTCCTGTCCCTCTCTATTTCCTTTACCTTAAAACCAAACAATGGATAAGTTATCCATCTTCCTTTATTTCCCTATCTCACCCCTATAACCCAGTATCTAAACGCCAGTAAAAGGATCATCGCCGGTCGTCGCGGGCCCTCATGATTGGCGCCCAATTAATTAAGAGCTGAAAATTCAGTTAATCTACTCTGATAGACGACGACGATCATTGCCGGCCAGGCGACGCGCGTTACGACACGTCGACGGGCTCTGCCGTCCACGCAGACGGCAGCCGGAAGGCCGGCTATAAAGATTTTTTACAGACTTCTTCTAACCTACACCTATATAATAGTTAGCTCTTTATTATTAATATATAATCTACTTCTCTCTCAAAAATTTCTTGTTTTTTTTTCAAGCCGACCGTAAGCTTACAGCCTACTTCTCTTCTCTACCTCAGCATTCAGCTGGCTTACAGCCTCCTGTTATACCTAGTTCTAACAGCTGTCCACAACTGTCCACCTGTCCACCTGCTCGCGTCTGTATCCCTGCAATTTTCTTTTCGATGACCTGAGCAAATCCCGTATTATACGCAAACTTATATGAATTTAATTATTAATAATCATGTATTATTTGTTTATTTGTACGAAGGAAATTCTAAGACTGGCCCAGAAAGAGACTCCTGACGCGTCTATTTTTGTTCCTCTTTAACGTAGCCCCGCACAGGATCCGCGCCGCTATCTACTTCGAGGGCAAAAAAGCGCTGCGCAGGCAGGGTAGTGAAGCGGTGGGGCCGTGGGGGCCGCTGGGCCGGGGGTGCTACGGCGTTGCCCGAAACGTGATATTTTTTTTTAGGCCGGTGCCGGGAAAGATGGGCCGGGGACAGCGACGAGAGACGCGCGTCGGGCCACGCGCGCGGGGCTCGCGGAATTTGACGAGGAACGGCCGCCGGTGGGGCCGGGTCCAGCCGCGGACTGACGCGTCGGCGTCGGCGTCGGCTTTGGCGCGGAGGGGGAGACGGCGACTGTGGCCGCTTGGGCGCTTGGCATATGTCCAGGAGGAGTCCGGATCGACGCTTGATCAGCAGGATTCTTTCCATGGGTTAACAGTAGATATTTTGTGACTGCCCCCATCTGGAATACATGAATAGAAAACACAGGAATAGAAAAAGTATAGAAATGCTGTAGGATTGCAACTGCAAAATTGAGGATTGAAAAACATAGAGAAATTGTATAAGTAGGTGTTTGGATGATACATAGGAAATTTAGAGGAATAGGAATCATAGGGTTGGTTTAATTAACAATGTGACGTGTTATTTTATTATAGAGAAAAAAAACATCAGCTGTTAGATCCTTGGAGGAACGCATCTACATGTGGACCACACCATAAAAAAAGCATTGATCTCATCTTTTCACAACCATTTTCCTCGTTCCTAGTGAAACCAAGAAGTTCCAGTGAATCTTTCTTTCCCACGAAAATCCCGTGAAATCATAGGGTACCAACAGTATTCCTCAGGATTTCCTAAGAGCTATTCCCGTGAACCAAAGGCAACTACAGTACCTATTCATTAGGATTGCCCAATCCTTTGTTTTTCCTTTGAAAACCCTCCCATCCAAAGGAGGCCAGATCTGTGTTTTCGTCCGAATGGATGAGTGTACCTTTCTATCACGTTGCTTTTAGAAAAGAATATGAATCTTTGTTACGCTTGCTGTAAATTACTCCCTCTGTCCAAGAAATAATAATGCAACAATATATTGCGTGCCAATTAATTGGTTCATGTTTTACCAAGTTTCTAATGAACTATATTTATATTTATGGCTCCAAATCAATTTATCATAGAAATTCATTTCGTAATTAATCTAATGGTATTTATTTGATATTATAAATATTGATATTTTTATCTATAATTGGTCAAGCTTATAAGATACCAACACAAAACAATGTATTAGAATTCTATTCTTTCTTGGATGGAGGGAGCAGTAAATAGCAACTTTTTGCCAGTTTTTTATAAACATTCTATTAACCTAGCCTCTTATTCAACATAGATAATTGTATTTTTGTTTAATTGTATTTTCAATGCTTGGCACTGTGTTTATTGATGGCGAGACATTGATCGTTACTTCGACAATCTCAAGGATCTATCAGCTGGAATATTATGTGGGTTTCGTAAGTTGATAGTTCAATAAGTTACTTCCCACCTAAACGGATCCATGTCGCTCTTGATTCCTTCATCCTCACAAGAATCACTATATCACCTAACTCTGCACACTGACTCTATGCTACTTTGATTCCAAAAATGATGCACGCCAATCCGTCATTGTGTTGACCTCACCAGACATCTCCTCTCCTGTTGTGTCTCACTTCCATTGAGATGGTGTCTGACATATTGGTTTGTCGCTTCCATTTCCACGACTGATGATGGTTTCTTCCTCCAATCCACACCTTTTGCTTGAGCCTTAGTGTAACACCTCTGATGTTATGAGCTCGCTAAGCATTGAGCTTATGGCATGAGAGATAGATCTATAAATATAGTGAGTTAGTTTACTTAAATGTCTATATGTGTTAATGAAAAATCCAAACGCGAAGGGTAGAATAAGTTCTAAACATTGGCACTGAAGCAATTTTTATAAACAAAAATTAAATATAATTTGTATGTAGTACTTGAATAAAGTTTAGAGTGTAAGTGTAGTAGATGGAAATGCAACATTAATTTATGGAGAATAAATACTATTAGTTAGTAATTTGGGAAGTTCAAAAATCAAACTTGGGATTTAAGAAGGGTCATTTCGTTGCCAGCAAACACTTGAACTTGTGTTTAAAAATATCATTCTTTGGCGAACTATATTGGACAAACTAATTAGGACGTGCTTAGATATTTTGTTTCTAAGAGTTAGTATGTAGTATGGGCTAGGTCATGGTACAATTGTTAGTTGAATCCGGCAAGGTT